GCAAGGGGGAGGGCGGGGGGAGCCCCCCCATCTCTCTCGGCGACCCGCGGTCCCGCCCCGGCGCCGCCGCAGCCGCTGCCCCTCGCGGCCGACGGGGCCGCGCGCGCCGCCGGCGGCGCCTGCCCACGTGACGACGGCGGGAGGGGGTTGGGGGGGGCAGAGCGACGCCGCATCACGTGACTCGCCGAGAGAGATGGGGGGGCTCCCCCCGCCCTCCCTCTTGACCGTTCGCGCGCGCTCCATCACGTGGCCGGGTCTGCCCTCCCTATTGGGCCCTGCGGGTGTGGGGGCACGTGACACCCGTCCCCCGCAGCGCGGGGCGTATCACGGGATCGCAGGGTCGATTAGAGTGGAAAAGATCGCTGGGATCAGCGGGTCCGACCTATGACCGAGCACCACCTTGTCAACTAGATTATGGCACTAAGTGCTACATCCTTAAACACCTTCCGAGGCGGTGACTCCACCACCATTCCAATGTCTAATCAGCCTGTCTGTGGAGAAGTTCCTCCTAATACCCAACCTAAACCTCCCCTGACACAGCTTGAAGCCATTTCCTCTCAACCTGCCACTTATTACTTGGGAGAAGAGGCCGACCCCCACCTAACTACAACCTCCTTTCAGGTAGTTGTAGGGAGTGATAAGGTCCTCCTGAGCCTCCTCTGCTCCAGGCTGAACACCCCCAGCTCCCTCAGCAGCTCCTCATCAGACTCGTGCTCCAGACTCTTCACCAGCTCCGTTGCCTGCTCTGGACCTGCTCCAGCACCTCTATGCCCTTCCCAAACTGATGGCACCTGTCTGCCCCTACATCCTTGCTAGCGCAAAGCCGAGGGAAAAGCGAGGTGGGGCTGTGTCCATCCCACGCTTCCTGCCCTGGCCACAGGCCGGCAGAACCCGGCAGGGCTTTGGCAGGATCTGTGCTGGTTATGCCTAAGGCTGGTGCCTGTAATGCCTGAGACCAGCTGGATCCTAGAGACAGGGCTAAGGGTCTTCTAACACAGTCACACAGCGACTTTTCCTCATTCAGATGTGTTAATATAACACTATATAAACACCTCCTATACCTTACATTGGCACGAGCCTGTCACTTTACTGTTCTGTTTCAACACCTGCAGATCAAGTAGGAGACTGAGCTATGCGGGACGATCCAGGAAAGGGAAGGCTGGACACCAGCCTGGACACCAGCCTTCCCAAGAGACATCTTTTGTTAACACAAAGTTGTTACCAGGAAATGGCTTCCGCTTTTCTCAAAATTTACTTCTTTTTCCCAACAGTGTGCAGGGTCAGAAGGCAGCTGGAGGCTGCAGTAAGTGGGGAGCTGATTGATCTGAAACATAAAGCACTAGTGTCGAGCTCCCTGAACATATCAATCTCTTTTTGGGAGTCATATGTTTAGGAGAAAACTGTTAAAAAAAGTTGTAATTAAAAAAAAAGGGAAGAGAAAAATCAATTTCAGTAACCCAGGAATCAAGTGTGGATGGGTTGCTCTGAGAGGGAATCAGTGATGCTGAAGAAATTCTGCCCTGGAATATGAGGCGAGGAAAACACAGTGGTAGGTCTGGGGTAAAAAGAGATTTTTCCTGCCAAGTTGCTGCTTACTGTGCTGCTGGCACCAGGGAGGTACTGCTGAATAGGTTGGGCAAATCCTGGAGCAACACAAAGAGAAGGCAGAAATAAGATACATGGACAAGTGTCACCAGAGCCTCCATGGGAAGCCCCAGAGAGCCAGAAAGCGAACATACACAACAGTTGTTTTCTGCTTGTGTTTGTGTGTTTGTGAAGGAATTGTCTGTCAAGAACTATGGCCTTTCCTGCATTGCTAGGAAATGGTGCAAATGTGGAGCTGCGTAAACAGAGCTGTGATCTTACCTAGTTTTGTAGGACAGCCCTGCTTAGTTACCATATGCAGAAACCCAGTTGTTTTAACAATTACCAGAACACAAACCCCCAGTCAGTTTTTTTTTTTATTCACATAACTTTATGTTTCTTTTATTAGTTATCACTAATTAGTTGTCACCCTAATTTTAGAGTGCAATAAGTCCCTAAACAGTGGTTGCAGGCAGTTTATACTGTGTCTGAGCTTTACAAGCAGTTGAAACAGCTAAAAAAGTGCTCTATGTCAAGCAAAAGTAATTTTATAATCTCGCAAATAACTGGTTTCAGTTCTTTTTCTTTCAGTGTGGCTTTTTGTAAAAGCCAGCAATAACAGAAAGTAACCCTCCTCTAACATTTTTTTTTCTGGAAGGAAAAGGGTTATGAAACCCGATATCCGTCTTGGGAAAGTTATGACCGACTGGAAATGTTATGAAAGCACTAAATTAAATAGGCCAACCAGGCAAAGCAATGCTATTCAGAGACAAGTTTTGTAGAACAAAAGGAATTGTTGCCTAAGACAGTGTACAGATAACGTGTGTTGCTGACTTTGGTGGGTTAGCTCAGATGCTGAACCCTTTCTCTTACACTGACAGTCTCAGGTTACACCTCTTTTGATAACCATAGCAGGTGACTATGAAGTGCTTTTCTCTACCCACCAGACTGAGAACACTTGAGATTTGCAATGGATGATAGCATGGCATGGAGTTACACTCCAAACCCTAATGCAATCTGAATCTGCAGTTTCATTCCTAAGGATGCATTGCCAAAACCAAAGATCACAAAGGTGTGCGTAAGTCATAGATAAATCCAAGTTTAGGGGAGTTTATAATCTTGTCAGTTGTAGATTAAGAAGTCTCTTTTGCACCTGCAGCTCTGTAAGTGACCACAAACAGTGAAGAATCATGGTGGCAACCATCAGTGACCTGTTAAAGGATATTAAAGGAAGAAAATTCTTTGAAGTGTTTCTTTCTTCACTAAGCATTGGTTTTTTCCATCAGTCTGTGAGCTGGTTTCACTCCAACTGCAGAATCCTAGGATATGATGCCAGCTAAATCTGATGTGAAAACAATCTGGAGCTAAATGTGACCTGCATGGAACTGGCATCTTATTCCATCTCTGTTCTGCTGTCCTCACCATCAGCTTCCTATGGATACGCAAAAAATATATATACAGCTGTTGTTCAGCAAAATCTCTTTCAAAGTGATCCAGCTGCAAAAGGGTGTTAAAGGCCCAAGGGCTCTAAGTCCTGCCCTAAATCAAAGCTGGCACTCTGACATCTGTTTGGCAGGAGCTGATTCTGCTGCAGATAGTCTCTCCATTGAGAAATGTGTGGGAAAACATTGACACACTGTGGCCAGAGAGATAAAATGCAATTTCTGAAGTTTCGTGAAGTTTTCTTGCTTTCGTCCATTTTACCAGACAGAAATGTAGTAAAGATTAGTTTGTAGCTTTTATCCTTGTTGATAATTTCCAGTCTCTTTTCAGTCAATTTCCTTTATTGGTATAAGATGCCCTAAACATGCAAGCTAAGACAAAAACTATAAACAAATGATAAAACAAAACCTTGTATCCCTTGAATCTGAGGAGCACTGAGAGTGAGACTCCACTGTTGCTTTGGAGCCTGGCAAGTTGTGCAAAGCACGTTTTCAGGTCCACGCTTACATTTTCATTTTAATTACTATTTCTTCCTGTGGAACTGGAATGAAGGAAGGCCGCCTTAAGGGGAACTGGATTTGTGTATTGCAAAGCAGAATTTCCTCCAGACTAATCTAGAGAGATGAACTTCATCAGCATACCTACAAGGTATAATTTTTATGTCCCATAGAAGTAACAGATAAGGTACTACCTGTATTATATTTAGTGCAGGTAGTCAGCATGGTTAAGCATCATTAGATGGTCTCTGTAGGGCTTCCTCTTGATAGCAGACGAAGGAATACTAAAAAGCAAAAAAAGCCAGTCCTTGCTTCATGGCTTTCACAAATGGAGAAGGAAATACTAGGATATGGGAGAGGATGGAATAAAAGCCTCTTTTTGGCACACCTAACATGGATATTTTTGTAAGTGTACCCATTTTTTGCTCTTTTTTTTTTCCCACTACAAACATTAAGCATAATGAAGAATTGAGATTAAGGCCTTTCCAGATAGTCAGAGCTGTATTTTAACTAGTTTCTAAGGTGAAAATGACATGTATGCAGTGTGTAACATAGTTGAGTATATGACCCTAGCTGGGATAGAGACCAACTGTAAGAAGAAGAGCTAATGAATTGTTTCAGGAAAGAGAGTGATGGTGTCAGGATAGGTAAGGATGCCAAAGAAGCTTAGTTTGAATTGCCCTGAGGAGATAAAGCTAAGATGTTAGGGGTCAGGGAGGAAGAAATCTGTGAAGCAATCTGTGAAATTAAGACATAAGTGGCATAGATAGAAGAATACAGAGCATTGCCAATTTATGTGGAAAAAAATAAAACAATTTGGGCGGCACTTGAATACATGAGTCTACAGAGAGGACCTGCATCCTGGTAAAATTCTAAACAGCTTTGGAAATAATAAATTCAGAGACTGGAGTAACAGTATTTATGAAAAATATTCTACAGTCATATACAGAAGACACAGTAATTCAAACAGAAATCAAAACAAGGCAAGTACTTCTCCTTTCCTCATCAGCTGTTGCAGCACCTTCCAGCTAAGGGATGAGAACATGAGCAAAAAAAAATCTTTGCTCTTTGCCATATTTCTTCACATCCACCTCGCTGTCAGAGTGCAATGAAGGCTTCCAAAGGGGAGTCATGGCAGGGTCTGACAGCCGGGATCTATCCCACTGTCCCCAAGCAGGGAGCAGGCAGGCTGGGGGTCATGCAGGGGCAGCCCAGCCCCAGGCATCAGGCGTCTCCCTGAGAAAAGGGCTGGTCTGAGGCTCTCAGGGTCCTGACATCTCCTCAAGAACTTTCTGTTCTAGCTGTATGAAGCATATAGAAATTGAAAACAGGAAAATGTTCACTAAAAAAAAGCATCAGACCTTTCCCAGATACCCTGGAGCACATACCGTGTCTTTTCAGGAGGTCTAAGGACAGACGAATCAACGCCATGTTGTGGTTGACACTGTTTCAGCCAACACTGGTTGGTTACAATTGAGAAAATGTCACTCACGGAAGTTCAAATGAAGACTCTCTTTGGACCTGGGCCCTCTTGACAATTCCAGGTATGAGGAACAGCTCATTGTGTTCATTCAACCTACTTGAACACTGAGCCCAATCACAGAAGGAGCTGAGCTTCTGTCCTGCCACAGAACTCATAACAAGCAGGCAGCTGCTGGAGGCCATAGCCACGTGTAAGGAAGGTCTTTCAGTGAGATTTCACATCCTGTAGTTTTCAAATCCAAACCTATGAAGTGAGGGGCAACTTGTGAGATTGTTCTGCAAGGCAGAGCTCAGAAGTAAGCTCTTCTCCTTGGACCTTAGCCAAACACTCCTGGCCAAACACCTTTGGGCAACTGGTAGGCACTACAAGCTCTATTTTTTTCTCTTGCGGTTTGTCCGTCTCACTGACAGCAGGGTGCTCTGACATGTAGAGCAAACGAACATCCAAGCCCAGCTGTGTTGAGCAGGACCTCACACCTGTGCGCGTGTTTATGTCCTATGGGCTGCCATCATTCAACACAGGGATCTCAGCAGGCCAGACAGGTGGGGACTGAGAATAGACAAGGGCCAAGTTTTCTCCATGGAAAACTGTGACATGGCATCAGTGAGGGCATAGCAGGTGACTTTTTGTGCTTTCCAGCTAGAGTCATTCCCTACTGGGAAGAGTTAACTGTGATAAGTGCAAAGCTGACAGCATATCAGAGGCCAGTTTTGCTACCAAAAAAGCGTTTTCCTTCATCAAATGTTTGTCCCAAGAAGCAAGGGGAAAACGAAGACCACTGGATGAGTGGGGCTGTGAGAACAATGTCCTATTTCCTACCCCACCAGGAATGCCCTGGAGGTACCAGCACCTCTCTCAGAGTGTTTGATGAGCACCTGAAGGACAGGTGCTTAACGTCTGCTGTGTGTTTTGTTGTGTGAATCTTGTCACTCTGAACTTTTGGGTATTGGTACAACTTCGAGTCATATCTTGTCAAGAGACATCACTGCAGGCAGGCTTTTCTGGGGCACGTTAAAGCCTGTGGCAGTCTTGTGTAGCCTTCAGACTATGCTAAGCCATCTTTCAAGCCTCTGGGAATTTGTCTCAGGAGGAAGCAGCTTGCCTCCAGCTGCTGGCTCTCACAGCTACCCATTGACCCTGATGGAACAGGCAGCTTCCTGGGCACATGCCAAGTGAACCAGTCTGTTAGCAGGAGAGTACTGGGTGAGTTTTCTGTGGGCATGCCAGAAATGAGGGGCAAAACAAGAGGAATGGACCAGGATGCAGAAAAGAAAAAGACCAAACTTCTCTAAGCCTGAACCATCACATTTGGCTTTTCTGTGATTTTATCTTGGGGTCCTTGCTAGGTCAAATCCAGTGATCCCCTGCAGATCCGCAAGGAGCTCTCACAGGCCAAACTCGGAAGAAGTCCCCTTCAAGGTGACTGTCAGCGGGAGACAGGTGGGCTATCCAGGTCAAGACATCCACCTGCATCCAGGGCCTCCTTCAAGTCCCAGCAGGCTTCTTCACCAGCTGCTAGTCTGAACATCGCCTCCATTGATGGTCCTTCCACAGATGATATAGTGAGGAGATCCTGCAGGAAACACGGGCAGGGCTGGGTGAGTGGTGGCTTGGTTGGTGACCTTTCTCAGAGACACAATGAAGTCTGGATGGGGAGGCACGCTCTGCCTTTGCTGGGCTGAGATCTACTTGTTGCTCCAAGTAGATGCCATTAGAGGAACACTCACAGTAAGGACTAGGTCTACATCTGTTAATCCTGGCTCTGCTAAGGGTTGTCTTCCTGGAGCTGCCTTCTAAAGAGGTGACACAGGTTGGACAAAATGACAGTGAATATAGTGATCAGGACAAAATCCCAGTTACTGGAATATTTAAGGCATGGGAAGGAGGAGGGATTGTGTCCTATAGTACTAGTTCTAATTATTGCTCTTTGTGATGATTATCTAGGAAACAGAGAAACATATGCATAAAAAACAACAAAGAAATAAATTGACTGAAATTATCTGACACTATAAATGGAATTAGTAAGCACTGCCTTTGCTCCTGAGAATCCAGAGGCATGAAACATGAGACAAAAACATTTGTTCTGTCCATGGAAAACATAGCTGGGATAGGGGCTGTCCTTGTCTCTGAACACAATTTCTGAATTATTTAGCATTTGGCCTTTCTGCTCCAGCAATAGACTCACTCAAAGCTCATGTTGTCTGCTTTTACAGTCTTTTCTTTCATTCTTTCTTAAGCAGACTTGCATTTGCTCCTATATATTATTTAGTGGAAATACTATGCTTTTGTAACATACCTGTGGGTGAAACAGACTCTGTAGGCACAGTTTGCACCCTGTATTTGGAATAATTGGCATGAAGAAAGAAAATAGACTGCAGTTCAATACACAGGGTATAAGCATGGAAAACAATAAAAGGAATATAGAGTTTCCTGTATTTGCCCATGAATTACTGTATTCTATGCCATAGAAAACCTGAAGGAAATCATCAATAAAACTATGCCCTAGTTGCATCCTTTTTTCTGGCTTTATTTCTTTTTTTTTCCTTCTCTTCTTGGTTCTTTTTTTTTTAGAAGCAGCCTTCTTCTGTAGCATGTGAGAGAGTGATACAATCAAGACTCCATCACATCGTATTTCAAATACTCAATTGCTCATTGAATGGTAGAATCTTCACCCTTGCTTCCTGTATCTATATTTTAGTTTACTTAAAATAAATTATAGTACTATGAAAGTCTGGTGAGATGAAACAGATTTGTGTCACAGCTACCTATCAAGTCTTAGAGAAGATGAGCAGTAGCAAAGGCAGGAGAAACACGAAAAGATCAAGCAGCAGTTTACTCAACCCACTGGTGTGTCTAAAAATACCAACTACATTGATCTTAAAGTACAATGCAATATGCGAAGGAAGATTTTCCCAAAATGGTGAACAAATAGAATAAGGAGCCACACACCAATATAACTTACTTTAAAAAATGAAGAACTTGGACAGAAGGATAACCCTCAGGCAGCAGCACACACTTTAGGGTGTGCAAACAGTCCCCTGAAGGGCCAAAATCCAGTGCACATTTTTATTCCCTTCTAGGGAGCTTCCTGCCATTTTTGTACTTATAGACTGGTTTTAGAGAAGACCACACATGAACGTACACTGTACAATTTATCACATGTGTAATGTCTACTGTTAGATTACTCTGCAACAAATGCTGTAAATAAGCCTTGGCTTTTGAGTTAACCTTGAGCCTGATGACAGTGATCTGGATTGATAGGATCAAGTGTACCCCCATGAGGTTTGCCAATGATGCCAAACCGAGCAGGGAAGTGGGCATTTTGGAAGGGAAAGCCATCCTGCAGGAAGACCTGGACAGACTGGAAGGAAGAGTGGGTTAGCAGGAACCTTATGAAATTCAACAAAGACAAGTATAAGACCTTGCACTAGGGAAAGTATATTCCAGGAGTGCAGCACAGGCTGGGATCTACCTGGCTAGAGGCAGCTCTGTGTAAAGGGACCTCAGGGTGCTGGTGGACAAGCAGGTCAATAGGATTGAGCAGTTGCTGCTGTGGCAATGGAAGCCACGATGAGGAGAATGTCACTCATGGAAGTTCAAATGGAGACTCTATTTGGACTCCATGCATCATCAACGGCATCACTGGCAGAGATAAAGGCAGCATTGTCCCACTCTACTCAGCACTTGTCAGGCCACACCTGGAATACCGTGTTCAGTTTTGGTCCCTGCTATGCAAAATAGATGTGGACAGGCTGGAGAGGGCCCAGAGAAGGACCACTGAGGTGATCAAAGGACTGGAAAGCCTGACATGTGAGGAGAGGCTGAGAGAACCGGGTTTGTTCAGCCTTGAGAAAAGAAGGCTTAGTGGAGACATTATCACCATGTTTCAATATTTAAAGGATGGCTACAGAGGAGATAGAAAATCCTTTTTTGCACGGAGTCACATAGAAAAGATGAGGAGTAATGGGTACAATTTTTTCTTCATGAAGTTTCGATTGTTCACAAGAGGACAGTTTTTCACAATGAGAACAATCAACCATTGGAATAATTTCCCCAGGGAAGTGGTAGGTTTCCCCAGCATTGGACACTTTTAAGATTTGTCTGGACAGGGTGCTGAGCTTTTTTTAGACTGTGCCTTTGCCATGAAAGGTTGAGTTGGACCAGATGATCCTCGAGGTCCTTCCAACCTGCTATTCTATGACTCTTACAATTCTAGCAACGTCTTACACATGCACAAGTTGCATAAAGCTCATGGAGGCTCTTGGTGCCAGCCAGCTCTGTGGGTTAACTATGGGAGAGACATGTATCACAGAAATATCTTGCAAGATATGGTCTGTAGGACCCCGTGCAATCCCATGCAGGCTCTCTGGGCTGGACTCCTTGTTTGTTTTGTTTCTCATTCATCTTCCTTCCTTTAAAAGGTGAAAACCTGACACATCTTGCCCCCAGAAGAAGAAATATACCTCTTGGTGACCACCAGTAACCTGGTCACTGACCACAGTTCCTTCCACTTGCTGTGCTGAACTTCATCTCCAGCAATGTTGGCTTGTGACAAGGAGCTGTCATGTGGAGATTATTGCTGGGAAAACTGCATCTCCCACAGAGGCGCTGGAAGTTCCCCCATGGTCCTAGGGAAGAAGGGACGAATCACATTTCCTTCTCAAATAAAGGTGGCTAGAGGGCAGCTCTGCATTAATGCTGTGATATGAGGTCTGCGGCTGCTTTTGGTTCTGCACACCTCTGAGCAGCCTTTTAGAGGGAAAAACCAACCAATAAGGAAGGTAACTACTGGTTTTGCTGGGACTCTGCTGGCCACTCTTGCACAGGCAAGTCTGGTAGCTGTTACATCAGCACATTTTTGCCTCTGGCATGTAAAGTTCAAGTGGTGCTGGCTTGCTAAACGGTTTTCCCTTCTTTTAAGGCGTATTTTTTACCCTCTCAGCCACAGAGGAATGACTTTGCCTCACTTACAAAAGTTAAATTGTAGTAAATACTTTGATGTAAAGAATTTTACAGATTTTCATGCCAGGAAAGGCATTTTGATTAGCCATATTTCAATGAGACATTAAAAAAACATACTTGTGTGCATTTTTAAAAATTGCTGTTATTACCACTCACACAACAGGTAGTAAAAGCTGGTGATACAGAGATTTGTTTTGTACTTTTTAACATAAGATTGGCAGAAAAATTGTCAGTTGTCTTATTGCTCAAGATGCTTTAAACCCACACCCTTGAACTGTGATTCAGCAAATTCCCAGAGAACCCTGGTCTGAAACCCGGGTTCCTCCTTGTCCTGTCCTGCCGGGGGTGGATTTCCCCTAGAGAAGCCAATGAACAACAGCTCATTTATTTATATATGTGGTGAGGAGGAAACTTGCTCCACTGTCTCTCCACCTCTTCCTGCAAAATGTTAGCTCACTTCTGCACCCATCACTTCAGGTCTTAAATGAAAATGGAATTGAGCAGCAGTGGAGCTGCGGTATAGAAACTGCTGTTTTCAACATCACTCCCTGGCTCTGCTCCACACCTCATAAATAATACCTCTCACTTAATTTTAGCTGCAGAAAGAAGCAAAAGCAAGCTGCCTGTGTCTTTCTTCAGCAAACCTAAGGTGCTCTTTCAGAGAGGCAGGACGGAGCACTCTGTTATTAACTGACATCACCGAGGAAATACACTTGCTTTCTATTTTTTTGGCTGCATTTTTTTTTTGTTTGCCACAGTTGCAGCAGTATCTTGATGGGGAAGCTGATCTCCAAAGGCTGGCAGAAAAGAGATGCTCAAGTTGTCATGCTGGGGCTCGACTTTGCTGGCAAATCCACCCTTCTCTACAAACTGAAGAGCGGCCAGGCTGTGGAGACCTGCCCGACGGTGGGCTTCAACGTGGAGTCTCTGCAAACACCCTGTGGCATATCCTTCACCCTCTGGGATGTTGGTGGACAAGACAGCCTGCGGGCAAGCTGGCCTGACTACCTGGAGGACATCAACACCCTTGTCTTTGTGATCGACAGCACAGACATGGCTCGACTGTCCGAAGCGGCAGCAGCACTGGAGGAAGCCCTGAGCCACCCCAGCATGGCTGGCATCCCCATCCTCCTCCTGGCCAACAAGCAGGAGGTGCCGGGAGCACTGGCTCCTGCTGAGCTGGGGGAGATGCTGCGGCGAGGGCGGCTGGCAGAGCATCGCTGGATGCTCCGAGGGTGCAGCGCCCACACCGGCCAGGGCCTGCAAGAAGTCCTGGCTGTCCTGGGAGAGCTGCTGCGGGACCCAGAGCCGAGCTCCCTATCCCAAGAGCAGCCCATCACAAGGCTGGCGGAGAGGAGGGAAGCTCCAGAACAAACCTGAAACTCAAGCAGACCCTTCCCACTCATCACTGCCAGCAGCTTTGTCACAGAGGATTCCAGCCGCCAGGCACACTCTAAAATGAGCAGACCTGTAGCTGGGACACACTGTGAAACACCCAGCTGCTCACCACTGAAACCCACCAGGAGAACCTCTGAGCAAAGCTCCCATCGTGGAGCAGGTTTGGCCTCATCTCTTGGACTCTCATCACTGGCTGCAGCTTGTTCCACTGTCACCATGTTCTACTCATCCACTGCACATGTGTGTCTGGAGCTTCAGCAGGGATGCTTTTTGCCAGAGCAATATAAATTATATATATAAATGATAACAGAAGAAGAGGTTTTCTTCTTTCTGCAGCTCCCAGCCCAGATGCAGCCATCCAGATGGGGTAATTCCCACAGCAGCGGAGCTTAAACATGTCCCATGCTGCTTCTTTCTCAACATGAATCACATGTTCATTGGCTGGGAAAGCAGACAGACACTAAAAGGAATGGCTGGACTGGAGCAGCGTAAACTCAGGACTTCAAATAGCTAAACAGCTAATTAATTTGCTTTAGTGTGGCATGTGTAGGTATAATCTTCAAACCGTGGAAGCATGTCAGGATTCAATGGTGTATTGTGGTTTGAGGATGTGTATATATTAATTTATGCATTTCTTATAATGTTTCCTTCTTTTTCCATTTGTTATTTTTGTCAAATACTGATTTCATGACAATGGTACCTCATTTTTCTATTATATTTAAATATAAAGAAATCAGACCTGACTTTTAGATGCTTGCAAATATGTCTGCATGGCCAGTTAACCTCTAAATATCCTCATGGTAGCCTGAACAGCCAAGAAAAACCCTATCTCTCAGACTTTTTGAAACTGCAGGAGCCCATTCCACCTGCACTGGTTGGTAACCATGGGCACCTATATGCACAGGTAGGTTGGTAACCAAAGGTCTCTCCACACTCTGTTTTGTCTGGGGCAGATGAAAATGCCCCTGGCAGCTCATGACAGGACAGGGTCCTGTGTGGCACTGATGGTCTTTGTCCAATCCTGCTCAGCCTACCATTGGAAAAACCTATAAAATGTGTGCCCTGTATCTAAAAGTCTGTCATCCAGGATTAAAATTAAGATATTTCATAGTAGTCCCTGCCTTATTACAAAATAAATAGGGGAAGGGGATAGATAGAACACAAAATTTCCATTTCTATTTTCCATTTCTGTTTCTATTCAGAAGTCAGCTGCTTTCAAGGAACAACATATTCAACTAGAAACACCAAGGAGAAATACATGGTGAAACCCTCTTCTGTTCATACCAGAGCATTTAACAGTCATTAAGGAATTAATCGTCCAGCTGCTACTGGTGCTATTATTAGCCACATTCCATAGAAGACAGCAGCTGGAATAGAGAG